GGGGAAAAGAGGGGGGTTCTTAATCTCCACGGCATCGTGCTTTTGGAAGCAGAGACAGATGGATCCGCTTCGCGATGGATTATGCCCTGAAGCGCCAGGAGGTAAGGCGGAAAGAAAAGACAAAAAAATGGAAAAGGGGGAACAGAGGGACATTCCTCCCCGATAAAAACCCGAATGAAACCCTCCAAAACCCCCAATAAAACCCAATGCGAGACGCACCCATCAAGGCGTTTTCCGTGGAAGGTGTCTTGGTCTCAAAGTGGACGTGGAGGGCTTCCTCTGCAGATCGTGGGCTGGGGGAAAGAAATATTTGAATTCAGAAAAGAGGCTCGGTATGGATGCTGACAGGCATTCCACCTGCACACGCGTTCTCTTTCTCTCTATGTCGCCAGATATGATTTCCTCGTTTTATAGTATTTATAGGAAATGTTGTGTAAATATCTTCCTTCTCGTATATTCATGGATCTGAGTGGGACAATATGGACTTCAATTTGCGCAAGCCTTCTCCATGACATAAGTATCATGGAGCCCGACTTTGTGAGTAGATGATAGCAGAACTATGGATTTTTACTGTAAGTTGCGTCCATTGCCACAATTTGTTAGATAGGCATCAAGTAGCCCTTAGGTAAGGGTCTTAATGCAAGACGCTTGAAGAACAAGATTAAAAACAGGTTTTTGTCTTAATTTGAAACTCCGAGGGCAATCGGCGCCCTCTTTTGAAAAATCCTTGGCGCCCTACCTGGTCGTGACGGGCTGGGTATCTGGCATTCCGGTGCCGGTCGCCTCCACAGGAGCGTCCCCTCTTCCAGATGTAGTCTTTAAATCAGACATAAGCTAACAAATTCAATACTTAAAGAAGAGCTAAGAATTTGTGGTAGCTGCAGCCAGGAGGAGACCTTTTCTCCAGGAAGGGGGATGAACATGAAATGGGGATGTTAATGATCAACATGATGCATGTCATTTACAAATTTTAGCTGTAACTAATGAAAATACATTCTTGACGTGCCAGCTAATTAAAAGGCTTGCGACAATTTCATGCACTTGGGCCCCCCGACTCTCAGGGGAGGGGAGGGGAGAGAGACGAACACTAGACAAGGAGCGAGGACATGACCAAACATGTGGCTAACGCCATCAATGCCCGCCACAAGAGTGTAAGAGCATGTGAGGTAGCAAGAAACTTGAAAGGTTTGGAGGTATTTACGATCTGTGACGTGGCTGTGTGCCGTAAGCCGGTTATGGTAGGCGAGGAACTTGGTAGTAGACGTCAGGGAAAAAACCGGAGAGTCGTTGACAGCTGGAATTTGAAATTTTGAAATTTCAAAAAAAAATGAACAGAGCATGTGGAAGTAGCGTCTTGCTTCCCACAATACTTTCTCGCCCCCCAACACAATTCTTCTAGACTTTCAAAGACAAAATTAATAGGGCAATCGTATTTTCTCTTGGAAAATGTGCAATACTGGAGAGCGTGCACCCTGCACGGCGAGCCTGCTGGATCATAAATTAGGGATTCGAGCGGTACATAGTTGGAGACCTGAAGGTGAAAGGAAACTTAATCATACGAGCGGAAGGACCATTTGAGGCTCTCAGATCATGCAAGGAGCGAAACTCCAGAGATTGACGAAAATTGAGCAAAACTTGTCTTATTCTCTGTATCTCTCCAGCACATTAGTGACATGCTTGCCCTCTCTTCTTCTCGCTTCAGATTTCCATTATCTATCTTTCCTCTTCTTCGTTCCATTTCTTTCTCCTTTGCCTCTATTTGCTTTTATACGCTATCATCTCCTTTTGGTGGCTTATTTCTTCTTATATTATGCGCCGCAAGGCAAATCTATTTGTGTTTCCCCTCCCTCTCGTTTTTTCCCCTCATATCCCTCTGCACTTCTCTCGTCGATTGTACTCTCCCCAATAGCTTTCCTCTCTTCTTCTTTTTTTCCCTCTTTCCTGTCCCTTAGTTTTCCAACCTCTTCTACTGTAGATAGCAAACTATCAATGGAGCCCGCGACTTCTTTTCTAGGGACCGCTCCACCGTTAAGTGAGGGATGAAGACAAGAAAGGGAAGAAGACGGCGAGGAATGGGATTCGCTGGCCTCCCTTTCCTTCTCTTTGAAATCTGTTCCTTCCTTTCTTTCCTTCCCTTTCTTCTCCCTTCTTCGCTGTGCCACTTTCTCTCCATTTTCCTCCGCGTTTTTTCCTTCCATGCAGTGGCTGTCTTGCGTCGGGCAAAGAGGAGGAGGGAAAGAGAGAGAAGGTTGTTGGGAGGGAGGGAGCGGGCCCTGGAAATAACCCCCTTCCCACAGGCCGCGCAACGTCTCTCCTTTACGGTAGAATGTTCCTGCCCCTTCGGGTCGGTCGTGGACGTACGACCCTGCGGAGAGAGGAAGGGGAGGGCGGGAGGGAGGACGCGAGGAACCACAAAAAGGAAAAGGATAGGTCAAGCGGTGCAAAGGAGCAAGGAAGAGAGGGAAAAATTGAAGAAGAAGGAAAGGGAGCAATGAGATCTCTCTCTCTATGTATATTATGTGTTTTTTGATTTACCTTGGTATCGGTCCCCGTTTGGCATGACCTCGACGCCTCCACAACCTGATTTCCGTCCCTAATGTAGGTAAGGCGAAAGAAAAGAAGGGAAGGGGATGAAATCAGCAAAAGAGGGGAGAAGGAGGGAGAGAGAGGGTTGGAAAAGGGGAGAAAGAGGGAAAAGGACAGGCACCTGCACATCAAAGCTCCCCTGGTAGTACCCCCCTCCACCGTAAGAAAGCGTTCCACTGGCTTTTTGATTGCGGCGCCAGCGACCTTCAAAGCTATTGGGGAGGTGGCAAGGAAGGGATGGATGGAGGGAGGGAGGGAGATAGGAAGGAATAATGACAAGAATGAAGGGATCTTTTCCTTGAAATGGAACAGCGCTACACGAGGAGAGGGAGACCGTGTGTTTCCATCTATCCTACATGTGGAAAGAGAGAAGGACAGAAGCCTTAGGGAGGGGCCAGAGAGTCCAAAGGAGAAGAGAAAGGGAAAGGGTGGGGAGCAAGGGAGAAGGAGGGAGGGGAAGGGAAGTACCGGTTCCCGTCCGAGTATGCTTTAATCCCCAGACCGTGTCGGAGGCCTGAATGGAAGTCTCCCTCATAAACAGAACCGTCCGTGCTGGAAAAAAGGGAGAAAAGTTGGAAAAAGATGTGTCAACAGGCTCGACATGATCGCAAAGGAAAAGAAGGAGGAAAACCAGGCAAAGGATTGTTGTGCCCGCATGTGTAGGCGCTGAACGCAAGTATGGGGGAAGGTTGCGAAGTGGCTGGAAAGAGGCGAGAGCAAAGAGGAAGGGCAAGGGGAGGAAGGGAGCGAGGGAGGTAGGACTTACCCGATGTCGATTCCTCTCCCGTGACGGAGACCGTTGACAAAGGATCCTCGATAAACCGCGCCGTCGGAGGTAGTTAAGGTTCCTTCCCCCGTACAAGCATTGTGCTGAAAAGATACAACAAAAGATTGAGAAATGTAAGCATGGGAGAATAATGATTGGAAAAAAGAAAGATGAAGAGGTGGACTTGGACTTTCGGCTATCCTACTCACATACTCTCCATCCCTTCTTTCACTTTTTCTTCTCATTCCTTCCTTCCTCAGTCTTGTCCATCGCACAGGATTGTATTAATTGAAGGCCACAGACATCGCGCTTCTTCCCTCTCCTTTCCTCTGCCTCCCCTTCTTTTCCTACCTCCCATGCTCCCTTATAAACGCTGCCATCCCTCTTTGTCAACACTCCATATCCGTCACGACCGTGAGCGATCCAGTTGCCATCATACACGTCGCCATTCTAGAGAGAAAGAGTGAAAAGAGAAGGAGGAATGAAAAGGTGAGTCATGCCACAGCCTCCCATAGCAAGCAAGCGACGGTTGAAGAAAGGGAGTTGCAAAGGTTAGGATTAGGGTTAGGAGATGACAATAGGGGAGGAACTACCTGGAAGAAGTAGATGCCCGTCCCCTCTCGCTTGTCGTGTACGTAGTCGCCTGTGTGGATCAGAGGGGTCGAAAGCGATGCTCAGGTTTGCACGCCGATTTTTTTTGATTTTTTTCCCGTCACTCTAGCCTTTTCCCTCTTGCTTCCCTCCCCCAGGCAGGCTGTCATGGTCGCTTGCGCCCGCTCCGCTCCTTTTTCATCGCTCTTTCCCTCCTACCTTCATAGCGCCTCCCGTTTTGGTACCAAAATATCCCGCGCCCGTGCTTCTCGTCGTTCTTGATACCATAAAAATGGGAAGGAAAAGAAAAAAATGAGAGGAAACAGGGTGGGAGAGTGGGAGCAAAGCAACAAGAAGGTGCCCGATCTATAAACGACGACCGACATTGGCACACATGTTTTCCTTTCCCCGACATCCTAATGCCACCTTTCAATTTCACCCCCCACGAACCCTTCTTTTTCCCTATTACATGACCGGCCATCAACTACCTGCTTAACTTTCGTTTATTTCGATTCTTTCACCCCTGCTTTCGACAACACTCACCCTCTTTTTTCCATTCAGTTGCGCTTACCTGCCAGTCGCCTTCATAACAGTCGCCATTAAGGTAGATGCAAGTTCCTGTCCCATGTCTCTCTCCCCGTCCATTAACGGTGCCTGTATAACTGAAGAAGAGATCAGAGCGGAGATCGGGGAGAAGAAGGGTGGAAAAGGAGCGTGGGGATGGGGGAGGGCGTAAAAAAGGGGGCCACAATGACCCGTGGGAATCATGGGAGCCTGAATTGGGGCACCACAAACGAAACTTTTTACTTGTGAATCGATATTAAAATACACGCATGAATATTACACGTTCTGGTGACATCATTCCACAAGAAATGTACGAGACTTTGAGGGGGAAGGAAAGCAAAAAAGATCAATACCTCACGAATGCACGGGGAACGAGCGGGAAAAACACGGAATCATGCTTGTGCTTTCGCCCTACTCCTGGCTGCTTTGTGGTAGATGTCGATGTTGTAGCATGTACTGCAGCCTGTGGGCTTGACGCATGGCTATCTTTCCTTTGGAGTGCAGTGGGCAATGTTAAGCAAAACACATTTCCCCAAAATTTGGACATTCTCCTCCACCCTGCTGTGTTGTGTAAACATAATTCGTAAGACAACGAAAGCATAATTGTATCAGAGACTTTCGGTCGTTGAGAAGGGGTTTTACAGGAGCATCGTCCCCTTGGGGACGTCTCGGTCCCCTGTCTTGGCGAGATGTGTGGAGGGACGACCAGCGATAGCGTTATCAAAAAAAGACAGTGATTGTGAAGCACATTTAAATTATCCATTTGAATAAGGTTATACGACTGACAGTTGTGTTATGGTTTTTATGAAAGCATCTTTGCGACTGAAATAGTATGATCAGCCCCGGAATTTCTTGAGGCCGCCTGAGCGTTTAAGGAAAGGAAGAAGCTAGTGCGAAAAGATCCGAAAGAAATGGTGAAACAGTGTGTCCCAAAAGATGAAAATTATTAATAGTGTAAAGGATATCAAAAAACCCAACGCAATTGTCGTGCGGAAGCGTGACTGATATAAACTTCAGCACGACAGAAATGACAACGTCATCAAAACCTTAGTTTGAAGGTTTAAATATCCGTTACTGACGTTGATAATTCTGGGGTTCCACGCGATATGAAAGAAAAATCACTACCTCCGACTATGTGCACTGAACTTTCTATCATGTGGGGTGTGAAGTTTGAGGGAGGAAAAAGTTGATTTCCATACACAAACTTCCCTATTCATCGACAGGTCTCTCGACTAGCCAAGATAAAAGAAAGGCCTACGATACATCGAGTAATATGACGACCACCGTCGATAACAACTATCACATGTCCAGCTTCGGCGGATCAAAGGCGAAAAATTCTGCTGCCTCATCTTTCCAAAAGCACAACGCAACCGTGTTGGCTGCGAAGCAGATGCCCAGCGTCTTATTGCCCACTAATTTTCAACAGGAGGCCTGTCTTAGCGAGGTCCACTCATTCACTCAGGGGAATTTGCCCTTTTTAACCACTACCCCTGAAAATCCTGCCAGTGCTCGTCGTCCTCCTGCGCAACATTTGGAGGAGAAAGGGTTGATTGCACCTGGCGTGGCTCGTGCGACACAGGCAGCTTCAGTCGAAAAGCCGTTCGGATCCACACCAGATGGGCCGAATTACAAGAAGATGGGCACCAATTTGCGAACGGTAAATGTAATGATTTTATATTGAAAGCAATAAATCGTTGTGGATAGGGTAAATGGCTGTTGTCAGCTTGATAATAGCTTTGAGCCGAGCGACTCGGACATGCAAAACGATGATCTCTGCGACTCATTTCAGTGCCTTTTCTGCTTCATCAGGTGATGCAGCAACACGTGGATTTTTTCGATAGCAGTGGGGATGGTGTCATTACCATGCTGGATACATTTCATGGGTATGCACCTCAAAGAAAAGTATTGTTTGCAGGATTGCTTTGATCCCCTCTGATGTCCGGATTTTATCTGAAAAGGCACCCAGTTAAGAATTGGCTTCGCTTATGAATTTTGATACGCGACCGTGTAGGTTCCGTCGCCTTGGTTTCAATTGGGCATTCTGCCTCTGGGCAGGTGAGTCACGGTCTCCCGCAATTGATCCCCCCCCCCCTTTCCAATCCCAAGGTCGAAAGGAAGGCTTGATTATCATTGGTTTACACACACCATCCCTTCCATTTTTCCCCCTTCTTGCTCAGTCTTTGTGGTCAACCCTGCTTTTTCCATTGCATCCTACCCGGGCTACCTCATCGACCCCTTGATGCGCATCTACACGCGTAACATCCATAAAGGAAAGCATGGCAGCGACCAAGAGGTGTACGATCATGAAGGTATTGATTGCCAGTCCCATTGAAGATTGTACCCCCCCATGAGCTTGTCCGTCCTTGGACGCCTTGTATAAGAGAGTAGTAAGCGATGTCTGAAAGCAAATTTATAAATTAACTTTTGGATGAAAATCGTGGTAGGCGATATTTATAGAGAGGTTCATGATTTGAGAATCATAGCCGTTCAAGAAAGATCTAATACAAGCACGCTTTCAAAATCTAAACCTTTGACAGGCCGTTTCATACCACAACGCTTCGAGGACATTTTCGCCAAATGGGACCACGACGGAAAAGGAGGACTCAGTTTTCGGGATCTTTGGTAAGGGGGAAGGAAGGAAGGGAGGGAAGCGAGGCGAGGGAGGGTAACAAGTAGACATCAGGAGCGGATCCACGACGTGGTGGTACGCATGGTCATGGCGACAAAGAGCTAACATCTGCCAATTACCCACGATCCAACCAGGGAGATGACGCAAAGCACCTTCGAAGTGAACGATTTCTTCGGCTGGTTCTCCAACAAATTCGAGTGGTTTACTCTCTGGCTTCTGGCGGCGGATGAGAACGGCCTGGTGACCAAGGAGGCGGTGAGGAGCGCCTATGACGGCAGTTTGTTTTACAAAATGGAGGTAAGCGCGTCAGTGGGAGAATGGAAAGACAGGTCGTCGAGGTGATGAGGATGGTATGAAGGAGGATGAAAATGGCTAACCTATATGTCTTACACGCGACGGATGTCTGGGGGTTAAAGATCTAGCGTTGAGCTTTTGTGTGTGTTGTTTGGTAGCAAAAACCAACGAAGGGGGATCAGGATGAATGATGCAGAACCGCTTGCATCTGGTTATGAAAGTGAATTTTGGAGAGGGATTGGAGTGCTAAAGCCTTTGATGGAGGACGGATTGGAAGAAGACGTGATGAACATCGCTTGAAATTGACTTCATCTCGCCCTCGACAATGTGCATTAACCTCAGCAAACCCAGTATCATGTACAAACCGCGTCGGTCTTTGCGTCGCTCACTTTTATTCATGGATGGATCTTTTCCCTAGCAAAAATGGTGGCTCAAGAAGCCTGCGAGCGAGCTGGGAGTGTACGCACATATGGGGGAAGGTTCTACTTTTAGTGCTATCTGGCGACGATTGCGAGGGAAAGGGACGAAGGGGAGAAAAATGCAAGGGAGCCAGCCAGTGGACGAGAATCTAGCAGGAGGAAAAAGCAAAAGTCAGTAGGTTTGAAGAAATGTGTACGAAATGAATGGGAGAGGGAATATGAGACAGGGATGCCAGGAATGGAACTAAATTGTCAAGGGATACGTAGGGAGAAAAGAAGAAACGAGAGACACATTGGCTAGCACGCCTTTCTGAATCAGGCGGATGAGTGGTATCAGTGGTACTGGGAAAGGGAACTAGATGGTGTCACAGACATTGCGGCTACTCGCCCCGGGCAACAATGAAACAGACAGGAGCAGTTGAAGAAATACCGCACGCGCGGGAGAAATAGACATGCCTTGAATTGAACGAAAGTGGACGATTGCCTCTAGGTAGCCCTTAGCGATTGTAATAGTTTAAATTCAATTATTTATAGACATTCCGTTGTTTTAAGTACAATATTTGACGAAGGAAGAAAGACCAGTGGTCACCCGTTCTGGGGAGGTAGGGGAGTATTATTCAGCGTAAGAAGTCATCCCATGGCGCAACGAGCAGCTAAGAGCAACACATCTCAACGCAATGGAGAAGAAATGCCATATCTACCTGCTTTGTTTGTGGAAACACATTTGGTTTTATGCATTGAAAAGCTCAGTGGGACAGTGTCCTGAAGGTCTTCTTAATTTGGAAACCCCTCGAGCGATTTTAATCCCTCGTTCAGACTTTGCGAGACTACGTGGTAAGTAGATGTGGTAACATAAATTTTAATTATAGGTAAATTGCATTGAATGGTCCACTCATTCTTTTATTTTAGCTTCTTTTACACCAGGTAGCGAGCGGGCGAACGAGCAGCTCGAAATTTTAGATCGTCCGAAGCGATTGAAGGTTCATGTCACAAATAAAAACTGACGCATAACAACGCCGCAAAAACGATGGATGTGGTTTCATACACTGCATTGCTTCTTGCAATGCATTCCTTAACGCGTCCAAAATCATCCCTGGCGGCCATGGGAAGAAGGAGATGCAAGGAATAATTCATGAGGCAGGGTATAGCAAGCCAAAAGCGGATTTTAACAGGCCACACTCCCCGATACCCGTCCATATAAATGTTTTCACGGTGTCCGTACCAAGGACAACACCGAAAGGGGACACAAAGACTCGAAAATATCCCCATTCTTAGAATGCAACGGAGTGGACAGGGTGGGGGGAAAAAAACACACCATAAGTCGGAACATTTTTTTGTGACGTGTAGGGCATTTTGTTGGCTTTCTGTCGAGCGAGGATAACGGCTGGAGCCACATGTCTATGACTCATTCCCGGTCGCACCCGTCTTCCCACGACAATGCCGCGCCCGGGCCCGCCATGTGCTTGCTTGGTCATGTGTCGACGACTCGTGGAGGGCGCGGAGACAAGCGGTGGATGCTTCGGTCCTGATTTGATAGTTAAAGAGGGCGATGACCTCGTCACCTATATACCGAGCCGGCCCGTGCGAGAATGCGAGCATGTGTTCGCCGAGGCGCCCTGGCCGGTACACAGGAATGGCAAGCAAGTGCATGCCTGAACCTGTGCGATGTGTGTCACAGGGCTTGATGCCGGGGTCGCGGGAAGTGGAAGCCTTTGTGGCGCAAAGTGTGTCGAGGAGGAGAAAGCGATCCCTTCATCTGTTCCTAGAAGACATGCCCACGTATGATCTTTCCGTCGAGACCTTCTGTTCTCATCCCCCTCGTTCCATCACTCCTCATGCGATGGATTTGTTGTTCAACACAGGAGTTATCATGGTTCGAAGAGACGCCTCACGCGCTGATTCAACCTGCGCGTTC